TCGCATGACAATGAATCTTATTTTTGTCACATCTCATGAGCATTTTGTTTATTGATGAGTTAGTATTAGGGCTTAATATACAGTGAAATTTGTCTCTGGACCGGTTGTTGATTATAGGGAGATGGTTTATTATTATAGACAACGACAGAAATCATGTGATCATTACAGGCCAATAAGATGACAGAAATTCGAATTGTTCGTTATTCAATATTGAAAGCATTCTTTACCAGATACATACTCACTTATGGAAATACTTGTCTAACTTTACTGTTGTTTTTTTTAGGCCAGCATCGTGAGTCAACCTTCTTAACGTTTAAATTTATCAGCCTGAAATATTCGTCTTGATCCGTCGTTCTGTTTCAGCAATATGGTTGAGGGTCGACATGTTTTCATTAATTTTTTTGCTATGTACTTGAAATAATGCAGTTTGTTTTGATAGAGAACTTTTTTTGTCTTAAAGATAAATGCTGTGCACTTTCTAATGTCTTTTGGCTTTTTCTTTCAAATAAAGCAATTGGGTTATTTGATTTCAGCGATCTTTGAAACTTCACAAAAGTTTCTGCTGGTTGACTTCGAGCAAACTTTTCCATGCCTCCACCCAGAGTTTTTTCATGCTGTATCCGCACCTGAAAAAACTAGGAAAGGACTAAAAGGCTAGAAATAAACTCAAATTTAGAATCTCGACGCCTTTTCTTCATCTGTCGAGAAATCTATCCAGTATAATAATGGTTATCTTATTTAAACTAGGAGCAATGGTCTTTAATCGGGTTTCTAAAGCCGTCGCCGCGACCTTATTACATTGTCCCAGCGGTTCGCCCCCCAAATTAGATTGAACCTGTCATACTTGATTGAGAGTATGGCCTTTTCATTAAGAGTTTAGACGTTACTCCGGTTGAACGCCCGTTGTCATTATTTTAATTTCGGCATCAGTTTTCTTTGACACGATGCATCAAACGCGGCTATGATTACAGAGATTTGATGACAGGCACTATAAAGTGAGTACTTAATGAAAGCAATTATAAGCATATAGAATTCATGTTAATGGTTTAGCAGATAATGACTATAACCATAGTTGACTGTATAAAATGCTCGGTTTTCCGGTCAATGATTCAAATAATATAGTAAACAATCCATCAGTAGCCAAATTGGCATTTGTAATATCAGTTTCCGCTATATCAGTGACTTTCTTCAGACTTGTTATTTCCCAAAAACGTATGTCAACAACATATATTTATGTAACCGCTTTAGGACGTTTCGAGTAGTTGATTCTTATTGATACCAGTTGAAGTATACAATTATTATTAGAATAGTTCTTTGTCGTCGACAGATTTATCAGTACACATCAACTTGTCACCGAGCCTAATCGAAGGAATGTAGATTATATTCTGTTGTTTGTTGCGGTATGTTTGAATACTGTGATTTCCGTACCCATCACAGAAATCGTGATTAGCTTCGAATCGTCAATAATAGTTGAAGTATTCGTTATATTAAGATTTTCTTTCCATAATCTTAAGGTTCGAGTCATGATGCTGCAAACGATGAACGACTTTTTCTATTTATTAACCGAGATACTCCTTTGTTAGATTTACCAGGCAGATTATAGCTCAGTCTATCAAATCACTGTTAATGTACGAAAAACTTGGCAGATTTGTCAAATTGAATCAACTCTAATCATTAGATGACGATTTCTTTTATCATTACTTATTGCATTATACGACGATATTTTTTTTCTCATTTACTTAATTGCATTAGATGACGAATTCTTTTCTCATTTACTTAATTGGCCTTGTCATACGACTTTTTGCATATTCCCCGTTGATCCAATTTATTTGATACTTATCCCCATAAATCCTTATACAGAAAGTGATTCTTCTATCGTAAAGAGAAGATTGTTCATTTGTGTTAAAACCACAATATTAAAAACAAAAGTATTAGAGTGTGCAATACAATTCTGCTCTATGAATTAAATTAATTTTTATTTCTAATTCTTCAAGATCAATATGTTCTCTCGTTACAATTGTAGTCAAAATTTTAAACGTCAAGTAATTTTGTCGGCTATACAAAGCAAACATTGATGTGGGTTATTTTAAATAAAAACCAAGAATTTGATACCTATCAGACAATATTAAATGGCTGCAATCACAGACATTCGTTCAATAAACTTATCTTGTGTTAGGCCAAGCGTCCAACCACCATCTCATTGTGTTTTCACAGATAGAACGATAACGGTTTTGTTTACTTGGCCGCTCCAATTAGAGAAATAAATATTTCATTGACTGTAACCATGAAACTAACCTAATCTCTAAATTGTTTTCTTTAACTTTGAAATCATTTTGTTTTCCTAAACCAGATGTTTGTCGTGTTTTTACGCCGAATTTTGGTTTTACAAAATTGTTTGAATTGTACCAAATTGGTTACCCGTAACATATCAACGATTTTGTGTGCAGAGACATTTAATTTTTAGACAAAGAAAAATTTTCGAGTTACATGATGGGAATAAGGAAAAAAGGGAATTAAGAGTTTGGGGGGGGGGGGGGTTGGTAGGTGGGTATCTTGTTTGACGGAGTGACAAGTTATTATCTCTGCGAGTGGACCAACTAACGTATTACGTTAGCATACCCCCCTTTCGAATTTGTAAATAACAGCGTTATTATTGTAATTCGTCACCAATAAAGTACGTGCACTGACATTGAGGTAACTCGCACGCTTTAAATAATCATTATGTGACTGTGTATGTGCAAAGAACTTTTAAAGCCAATAAAGTAGCAAGGTTATAATTATCTTTAAGATTGTGTGTCATATTTTCTATTTTAGCAAAAGGATCATGATCGTCCGTTCTTTGTTGATATATGCCTGGCAGGGACCAATTCTGGAGCGGTTATACCCATTTTGGAAAAAGGAAAGGAAGGAGGAGAGGAAAGTGGTATGAGGAGAAAGTTAGGTTTGACGGTTAGTTATTACGTAGCTTGTCTCTAAAAGGAACAGTTTGTAATATAATTATAAAGGTTATTATATAAGATATTAATATTGTTTAAATAGAAATTTCCGATGTGAATACGTGAGGGCCGATATTTCCTCTCATGTGCACATGGGCAATACTTTATTTAACGTATGGGAATATAGAATCTAGATTCTTTGGGAGATACGTCCATGATCTTAAGAGTTTAGTGTAGGACAGATGCTTGGGACGTTCTCCAGCATGAGCGTAAGGGAAAAGGAAAAGGAAAAGGAAAAGGAAAAGGGCTTACCATATAGTAGGCATAATATGTTTTCTCGTGACCGTCATAATTTCAACACTTTATATACATTTGATCGCATGGTTGTTCTTCACGAGCCATTCCACCAAGCCAAGCGATCGAGCTTATCTGTGTATGGGTTAGCCAAACCAAATGTTCGTTATTAAAATGAATTGTTTTCATCGTGTGCCAAGTTGTATTCGTATCACTGTATGTTACTTTACGGGTTTCATTCTCAAATTACCAAAAACGAATTGTTAATTGAATAAATAATAATGATATTAATATTATTGTTATACCAAAAAAGTTCGAAATTAGTCTGTAAAAGTAATTCCCAAACCTAATTACCGTAATTAATGTGCCTTGCTTTTCATGTGACCAGGATAATTAAAGGTCGATAAACACACCAAGCATGAAATAAAAAAGAAGCAAAGCGCACGCACAATTTAGTCGGCGATAAACTTAATCAGACCTAATACTGAAAACGAATGACAAAATACTAAAATTGTAACCCAAAACCCAAGTTTATAACCCAAAAATTATGACGTCCCATCTATGAGTGATAAGAAAAGTGCGATAAAATTGAGTACAAAATATGAAACAGGAGATCACATCACATCGACCGAAAACTTTAAAAAGATTTATTAAATTGACCAGACCAATTAGCGGCAACAAGAAAAAGCACGGATTCGGAGATAAAGTAGTGATAGTGGAGGTTTGAGATGGGTTTGAGATGGGTGTGAGATGGGTGGGATAGCGGATAGCGGATATCGGTGTGGAAGGGATAGTGGTGGAGGGATAGCGGTGGAGGGATAGTGGTGGTGGTAGTAGCGGTGAAAGCCAAGCAGTGCAGTGGTAAATGGCAATAATAATCAGTGGTAATAATCAGTGGTAATAATCGGTGGTAATAATCAGTGGTGAGAATAATCATAACAGTTTTAATTATAATACTAACTATATATAATAACAGCAGCACTAATACTAATTAATAATAATAATAATAACAGCAAACACTAATACTAATAACAGCAGTACGAATGAATTGCAATATCCAGCGCCAACCAATGAGAATAATCGCAATATATTCAAAAGAATGACTATTTGCTGTGGGGATAGACGTGGCATGCACTTTTTGGTTTAATTGGGGTTATACCATGAATAATATACCGCATCATCGGATACATTGAGACATATTATGTGTGTATTCACTTATTCGTCGATTTTAGTATCCAGCGTTCTTTGTCACTGATACATCAATATAAAGTAATATTGGAATAATTGATGTGCTGCAGAAATAACCCTTTTTTAGAGTTATCATGGGGTGAGGGAGGTTTTCAGAATAAACCGAGAGGCAAATTGACTGCATTCGGATGAATGATGAGTATATTTGCTCCTTATTTGAAGAGTATTACAAACAATAGAAATGATAATAATATGTATGACAGTATAAGTATTATTTCATACAACACAACCTGTGATGTCTTTATTGAATCATTTTTATTTGTATTGACCCTCTTGTTAAACACATCCAATCCCAAATAATCGCATATCTAATACATAAACATACACACTCATTGCATCTATATTACGTCTTTCATTACTCGTTTTATTGCTTAATTAAGAAACTTGTCTCGAACTTTTTATTCTGTTTATCGCAAAACTTGCATAAATACCTAATAAACATACCGTCCCTTTTCTCCCCCCTCTCTCCTCTTTGATTCTTTTTCCCACTACTTTTTCTTTTTACAACTTACTCTCTCCAAAATGGACACTCACAGCGAGACTCCTTTTCCTGGTTCGACTCGAAAGAGAAAGCTAAACGGTATGTCCTCGTCGTTAAAGAAAAAAGAATCGTGAAATGTAAAAAGGCCAACTGTGAAACTAGACCGCACTAGACTAGACTGAACTGGAACTATTATTATGCTATACACTACCATTCGTGCCATACGTCGCTATCGAGCTGCCCAGTTTTCTGTTCGAGACGCGTGCTTGACTGAAATGCTTGACGGAAATGCAAGCAAGCAAGCAAGCGTAAACCCCTCCCTCCTACCATTCGATTCCACAACACATTGTCTTACTCGTCATTTTCTTCCCTTCAAAATAGACCCCCACTCGCTTCAAAACACCGAAGACGCGGACGACTCGTGGGTAGACGTTTACAAAAACATTAAGCGAATGGATACGCTATACGATGCCACATTCTACAACTGGTTGAAATCAGAAGACAACGTAGTCGTAATATCAATGTATTTGCATCGCATTGCTAATCAATATCCGCTACCGAGGATCATTAACGCCCTGAAGTGGTTGATTAGCGACTGGAGATTGGAAAGCATTGCAGTGTTGGTTAAGCAAGTTACCGTCGATTGGAAAGGGAATGAAGGTATGTGTGTTCTGAAAGTCAATGAAAAAGTGGCAAGTTGTCACCCCCTCCCTTTTCTCATATGTCGCATTCACTCACCATAATCGTTTTCTCCTTTTACCCTCATTCAAAAGGCGACTCTCGTCGTGGAACACTTCTCCGCCATATGACTCACAACTGGGCTCCGCAATTTACCGCATCACTTATTGCCAGCATTCTCACAGCACCTCCATATACTACATCAACATCGTATGCCGCATCTATAGCAACCATAAATGCTGCAAGGCAACGGTTCCTGAAAGCGTTAACGAGCGACTATGATTTCTCAAAGTTGTCAGAGTTTTTAATGTATCTGGGATCGCAATTGTCCTTGTCATCTTCTTCATCCTCGTCGGTTGCGGGTTGCGTTAGTAACAGCAATGGAGACGGAATAATAGTCGGAGGAACAGTAGCTTCATCCTCGTCGTTTTCCTTCTCTTCGTCATCAACACTCGCCTCGAATCAGTCCATTCAACATGAACACATAGAAACAATTGAGCTTGAACACAAGATAAAAGTTGCGCTGTTGAAAGATGCAGCTGAAAGGGAAAACGAAGCAGAGTTGGAGAAAAAGATTGCGAGGCGGTGCAGAGAACGAAGAGAGAGGGAGTCGGATAGAGAGGGTGGAGAAGCAAAGAGGTTGAAATTGAGCGACGAGAACGAGAATAATTGTGATAAGGTTATCGAACGTATGGGAAACAGTAATAATGGAGATAGACCCAGCGCGAGTATTGCACCAATTCTAAGTATACGGACGAGAGAACAATTGGTTTCAGATGCAGGACATTCTGAGGACGAATTGATTATATGCTCTTCATCACCATCATCATCATCTTCTTCTTCTTCAACATTATTAACATCAACATCGACATTAACATCATCACCAACAGCATTATTATCACCGCCCTCACTGTTATTATCGCAAGCATCACCATCCCCATCCCTGTCCCCATCGTTTTCGTTTTCTGGTTCTCCTTCCCCTTCTTCATTTTCTCCTATATGTCCAACCCAGTCATTACCTGTTACTACTTCAATATCCACTTCAACATACCACCGTCATCGCACACATTCCCAAACACATCAACGTGGTTCTTCATCATCATCAGCTCTCTTACCCCCCCATTCTAATTCTACCCTCCTTCAAAATATTACGTCTTCTACTACTACTACTACTTCTTCTTCTACTTCAACATCCACATCTTCCTCGTCTTTCTTGTCGACACCAACATTACCATCATCACCACCATCCACCACGTCAAGCCCGAGTTTCAGAACAAATTTTTCACCTCATCGCATGCGCTACGCAAGGAGAGCCTCGTATACCTGCAATGGTGCTAACGCAATTGCAGAGTTGGGAGAGAACGGAGAGGGCGTTAGTGTTGTTATTGGAAGTTCAAATTCGCACGGTCATGGACATGCGTTTGGAGGTCAGGCCGGTCATGATTGTCAGAGTATCGAAACAGCAGTACCAAGTCAGGAAGGCCTTACAAAAAGTGTCCCATCGAATGATGGGAGTATGAGTGGCAGCGAAATATCTCTTCAAAGTTATTAATGGTATTTGCGGCGATACGAACTACCAGCAGGAAGTTTAGATCGAGCACTTGCATTCATTGAAATTGGGCTTAAACAATTTATAACATTGAAAAGAAAATAGATACGATGAGAATTGGGTGAATGGGCGGCGTTAGATAAAGCAACTGAGGAAAGATGGGATTATACAATAAGACAATAAAAAAAAGTGGGGGTACGTTGTATAGATATTTTCTCCCTGGACGAGATGTAGTAGATTAGAGTAGAGTAGAGCGGTATTCGATAGTATCGTTGGGTGTAAATACCTTTTACTATTGATAACATTTTTCTCATCGTATCGGACTTTTTTTTTTTTTTTTTGGATCGAGAGTGTTCTTATTGTTTCAGATGATGTCAAATTGTAATATTACAACTTACATTTTCCTGTCATCATTTCTACATTAATTCACTTCATTATTACCCATTCCCGCATACACCACATATTCACTCATTCATTCTCTTCGCCATCATCATCTGAGTTGATTTTGCATTCTCAATCCAATAATCCTTGTATATTGGGAACTTAGTATATTTGTTCCAAATTCAGTTTGTATTACTAAAAAAAAAGTATGTATCATTTATCAGACTCTTTTTTCTTTCATATAAATGATTCAAAAGTATAATATAAACATCAATCATGTGAACTAGAGATACATGTCAATTATAATTTACTTTTTCTGTTGCATCGAAATTAAACACAACGCGGTTTCAGCATTGCTTCTGTATACAAGGAATGGCTTGGGGGAATGTTTCGTAAACTGGTATCGGAGGAAAAAGTAAATTAATTTGAACTTGCGATTATACGACGACAAGTTTAAAGCCTATAACAATAATAGCATTTTACATTGTCGATACGTGCATGCTTAGGCTTGTGATGACCAATTTCTATTGTCATCACAGGGAGACACAGTTGGTAAAAAGGAGAAATCAAGCACGATAGATTTTGTTAATATATTAAATCTCATTTCTCATTAATAACATTATTAATTTCCAAACATTTTAAATGAATCGTTGGGTATTACAAGATAAGAGGGCGTAATGTCAATCACTAAAAAGAAGAATAAGAAAGTACATCAATTATGCCTTTTTTTGCTCTCCCTTCGATAAACTTTATCCTTGGCAGATCACATTTTCTTGTTTTAGAGAAGACTACGAGTTAGATATGTTAGGATCAACTTTTTTAATCTGCACGACTTTCCCAATTTCAACAAGCAATTTTCTCCCCATCGGAAAGAGATTTCTAAATTTGGTCAACTGGGAAACATGACAATGGGAAAGTGACACTTTATATTGGTTGTTTGCTGAATCACTTGGTCTCTGTTCTTTTTTATTAAAAAATGTTTGACGGGTTAATTTTCACACGCTAATCCGGAAGAGCCAGTTTACGTGTATTCCCGGAGCGGCATATTTATTACGAAAAGCCTATTTGCCTTGTTCTTGGCGAGTGACACAATTATATACGTAAATTACGTTATTATTATTTGGCGCAGTTCGGTGTCTCAAGACCTTAACGATGCGATGTCGTGAATTAACAAGACAACAAGAAATTATTTGAAATTTCAGTCGAAGTATCGTATTATCGACCATATTGGTTGGCGTTGACACATTTTCTACGCTAGTAGTAATATATAAATAATTTATAAATAGGGACGCCAGACGGTATTGTTGCAAGAGCCATTGCATTGGACTGTTCCTGGTTGACATTTACAGTATGATGTTCCTAACATACTCAGCTTTCTCATTATACGTCTTGTTAACATTAGTTCAACAACGTTTGTTTCTACTGCTACTCCTTTTTTTTTTAAATAAAAATTAGAGTCAAGTTTTTCAATGTAATTTGAATTACCGTTAACGTAAAGTCCATAGACTTTGGATTAACAAAGTTGACTTTGTATAATAATAATGTATTATCACATGAGGTATAAAGTATGATAATGTAAATTATGTATGTGTGATAGCTTTTTGATTAAAAATTGAGAACTTGGACGCGTTTATGTGGCGTTGCAGTTTTTTGTAGAAAATAAAAATGCAGACTAAAGTATTATATAAAAAGCCATTATTAATAGCCTTAATGCAGAATGCACTCGTACTTGACATGCAGTGAAAACACGTTTGTTTAGGAAAAATTTGAGCTCACTTTAAATATTTAAGAAGCTGAAAACATTTGATTCACAGTTTTATATGGTCAAATGGATAAGTTAGTCTGCGAATAATTTTATACTCTTACTAATAAAACAGCGCGCTATGTAGGAAGAATGGTCCATTTCCTTTGGCCACTAGGCTCATGTACCTTGATCTCCCTTTAAGCTGAAAAGTGTTGCCTAAACTACCTTAAGTTTTATTTATATTCCATATTAATACTGTATTAAAATTAAGTGTAGCAACAAAAATTCCGTAATAGTAATTGGGTACGCTATAAAACAATCAGAAAACTTGTATGTTAATTAGAACGCACTCCAATTTTGCTTATGCCATTTTCAGAAACCTCAAATTAAAGTATTGATTAAATTTTACGCTAAATATGTGTATGTGTGCAGGAAGAAAAAAAAAGTTAAACAACACCCACTAATAGCAAATTAATTAGAATATTCGACAAGCTCAATAACGAGTGCTTTGTTGATTACTTTAGCGGCGGATGGTAGTCGTGGGTCGTAGCGTAATAGACGTCGGTTTCGTGATTTATTACCCAGACGCCGATCAAATAAGCCGCAGGCAAATTTTCCGGCGGCTTAATTGTAAACGGGAAGTCAAACTTAGTATTCACATAAGTTGCCTGTATATTCCTGGTAAAAGTTATTTTTGTCGTAAATAGAGATTCCAACAGTAACCTCGGTAGTGTCAGTTGTCACAGTTCCGGAAATACCAAAAGTAACATTTTAGGTGATACTAGTACGTTTTCACCAAGATACGTACATGGATAAAATTGGGTAGCTCGTTTACTTAGTCTCATGCGGAATGACTAAGTTGTAACCAACGCAAAAGAATAGAAAAAATACACTCGGAAATATTCCGTCAGAGATACACATGGGGTGTTTTGTAAGTTTGTAGTTGCTAATCAGTTAATTGGAAAGTTTTTTAGTTGATACAGTCAAAGTGCTATCAATATCGTCATTTTTATAGTTCCTAAATAATATTTTGTATTATCCAAAGTTGGAAGCCAAATTGATGCAGAACACTGTTGTTTGCGATAATCTCATAGTCACTTTAGGTAACCCTCACTCATCGTCGGTCAAATGTTGTCCGTATAACAATTCGAATATTTAATAGTAACGCATGGTAACACCCATCGCCATTGCGCACCCTAAAACGGTCCGTTATTTTGTTGTATGTCAGATTGAAATTCATGTCCATTCCGAATGGACACATATGTCCGATTGTAACAATAAAGACAATCAGATAACACCATTATAAATGCGTACAAACAACTGGGTTTGTTATAAAGATATGCTATTTTAAGTTTGTAAGTTTTAGCATAATAAAAATGAACAATTTATATAAGCCCAAGTAATTTGTGGTATTACTACTTGTAGTATATTGTTCGTGTACAATTTTACCTAGTATATATGTAACAAATTACTGCCCGTCTATTGTGACAGTTAAACATACTTCATATGTTTTGTTATTATTATTATCATGTAATGTAAAACATTGAAAGTTCAGAATGTTTATTCGAAGACATTGCATGTATCACCGTCATAAGAAGAATGTATAGACACAGGTGATCGAAAATAAAGTTTACGTGGTGTGGTTAAAAAGTTCTGATCGTGGATTTTTATCTTGACAGGTGCCGGTTTATGTTCTTGTAATTTTTCTTTGGCTCCTCCATAAAGGATGAATAGTAAATCGAAAAGCAGAGCTTAAACGCATTACTCTGCGGCTTGCGTGCTTTACATTTCTTCTTAGCAACAATATGCTATTGGAAATTGTTGTAACCAAGCAATAAATAAGTAAGTAAAAGAGCTCTTACATGTGGTTATACGGAAGATGATAATAAATTTTGCATTTGGCATGTAAGTTGTCCTAATGTCCACGGTAATGTTTACTGTCTCCATGTAATTTTACAACTTCTCATTGCTTTGTACTAAATTACTCGAAATTTTTCGAACAAATTAAATTTAAAGAACTCAAATTAGACCAAATCGCTCTAGTCGCCCCATGAAAATTGGCAGGCTTAATGTATACAGATAACTGTTAGCTAATGGATCAATTGCAAGAGTTTGACTAGGGAAAAATAATTTATGTTAATAAAATTGTCCATTAAAGAAATATTAATACATTTAACGTGAGCCCCAAATTAATACAATAACGTGTAATTGACTCATAATATAATAATAAACGTTACCTATTAGGATTTGGTTTAAAGTAACATCTAATGAATAACGTAAGCCTTGCACAAAACTTTATAGTAATAATCAATTATATAAATTCTGCCGCAAATTCAAGTAATAACAATAAATTTATTTACATCATTTAATAATTTGTATTATGACAATATATGTAACAAGTCCGTACTGTACTATTTCCATGTCAATGATAATTATTTGTTAGAAGAAACGTCGCTGGTAATTGACTCTAACGCTTTGTTTTTCGTCTCGGGTAAAAGGATTGTGGATACTGCTCCCACTATCATGAAGATAGCATACACTATAGAAATAACCAAAAATCGCGCACGAAAATGTTCAACCGAATGCACGTCATAAAGCCATTCAAACGTCAAATAAGAAATTATAACACCAATTTTCCCGAACGCTGCGCTTAAACCGTAAGCGGTTGAACGGTAGCGCGTTGGAAATAGTTCAGCTGGCACGACAAATGCTACTGCATGCGGACCGAACGTTAAAAAAAACTAGAAATGTTTTACAAAGTCTTACTATTAGCGTCGATAAAAATAATAAACCGTCATCAATGTCAAAAAAATAAAATAAAAAAAGCTTACAAGAGTCACGGTAGAAACTGAATAATATAAACGGTCTCGACTCAGTT